GAGTCCAGTGTCCCTGCTGTCACAGAGGCCCCTTGGGAAGCAGAGCAGGCTCAGAGTGACTTACGTGACTGGCCAGGGCCAGGCTGCAGTGTTGGGAACACAGAGGAATGGCCAAATTGGAGCCACTGTAAAGACACGATTGCACAGTTTTGGAACAAGCAGTGGGCTCCTCAGTAATAATGTGTTCATGTGGATCGTGGACCTCACAGCTCTCGGTGGTGAGAAATGGCCACTGCGCTCTTGCTTTGTGGACAAGTTTTTCAGGAAATACCGGGGCCGGGCAGTCTGACTTCTAGGGAACTTCTTAGTGCCCCTCTCGCATCTCTTCGGGGCCGAGTGTGGCTATTCAGGCTTCTCTGGGGTGTCAGCACTGGAGGCATGAGGCAGAGGGTCCTGTGGAGGTTTGTCATTGGCGTGTCTGAAGAGCTCCTGATACACGCAGTGTCGTCCCAGCTGTTGAACTAGAAAGAGAGTAACCACATTCGGATATTTTTAAACAGCCAGTGGAGTTGGGAGAGAGTCTAAACCCAAAGTACAAATTTCCGGTTTAATTTTAACTTTGCACTTAGCTCACACCCAGGATTTGGCAGGAGGAAATGGGCCTTAAATTTTTTTTTTTTTTTTTTAAAGAGAACACTCCCTGGAATGTCAGGGATGCTCTCTTCACCTGGAGGGGTTTAGAGCAGTGGTTCTCAACCTTCCTAATGCCGCGACCCTTTAATACAGTTCCTCATGTTGTGGTGACCCCCAACCATAAAATTATTTTCGTTGCTACTTCATAACTAATTTTGCTACTGTTATGAGTTGTAATGTAAATATCTGATATGCAGGATGTATTTTCATTGCTACAAATTGGACATAATTAAAGCATAGTGATTAATCACAAAAATAATATGTAATTATATATGTGTTTTCTGGTGGGCTTAGGCGACCCCTGTGAAAGGGTCGTTCGACCCCCCCCCAAAGGGGTCGCGACCCACAGGTTGAGAACCGCTGGTTTAGAGCTTGGTCACCAAGCAGAGACAGGAGGAAGCGGGTGGCAATTGCGGCAGTTCAAAGTGGTTTAAGGAACGCTGGGGCGCGTTGGAGGTGTGGATAGATAGCCTGTTCCTATTCGGAAGCTCTAAGAAGTGTGGCCCTCGTCCGAGGTAGGGGTGGGCCCACTGACTTCCACTGTTGGGCTGGCTTTTTTGTTTTTCCTGTTTGGTCCACTTCAGACTTTTCACAGGCAGCTTACCTGCCATCCCCATCGACCCACAAAGAAGGGGTTTCCCCCAGTGTGGTTTGTACATTTTGGTGAAAGCACCCTGAGGTCTAAGCCTAGACTTGCCCCTCCTCTTTAATCTCACCCCAAAGAGTGCTGGGTGAGAAGGAAGGAAATGCAGGAACCCCGGGGATCCTGCACGCCCCACAGACCTACAAACCCCACAGACCTGGCCCCCAGACACCACAGGCCTCCCTTGCCAGTGACGAAGCAGCCTCTTGCTCCCTGGGGAGAATGGGGTCCCCCAGCCCCTCTCCAGATCTGTGCTCCCTGACTTCAGCCTCATCTGAGCGAGGGCTGGGTTGTTTTGTGCTTTGGTTACTGAGGAAGTGTAACCAGGGTGGGGACTGCTGGGAGTGGCCCCCACCCGGCTGGTGGAACAGTTAAAAGAGGGGTAGAAGGGGAGCAGGGGGCTGCCAGGGCAGCTTGTTCGATTGAGTTGGGGCTCTGGGAGTGCCTGTGCCCTATATATGAGAATGTCAGAAACCATCGGGAGCCAACACTGACCACCAGGCCCAGCAGACACCCTCCTGTGACCACTCCTGCCCTTGAGAAACGGGAGACTGCCCTGTGGAGCCACTGTGGGTCTAGCACTTAGAGGGTGCCTGCTGAGGGCTCAGGAAAGAGCCCAGGATTGTTATTAATAACACAGTAGTAATAGTAGCACTTACTTGCATATTGGTCCGGAGAGGAATGGCCACCAGTTTGGTGTGGTGCTGGAGCTGGAGCCTCTGTCTGTAGAATTCCCAGGCAGCACTGCGCTGCTCCGGGAAAGAGGTCGACTTCAAGAAGGAATTCCCTTGACTCTCCAGCACCACCTCCCCCAGCTCTGGGGCCTTCTCCTTAGCTAATGGCCTTAAGAGGAGACGGCGTTGACCCGGTTAGAGAACTCGCATGTCTGAAATCGTTGAGGGCGGATTGGAATCCATTCTCATATTTGTCTTTCTTTGGTGGAGGTTACGGAACTCCCAAGACCTTCCAAGGAAACAGTAACTAAAGAAGATGGTGGGCCCTGTGACTCCGGCGTTTACTACAGACTGAAGGAGGGTCCTCCCTCCCCCAGTACAGTTGCTGTCCCTCCATCTGCTCTGCTCCCCTGAGGCCTGGCTTCCTGGCTCTACACTGATTTCCTGCCCTAGGGTAGGACTTATTCCCAGGCATTCTTGCCACTGACCTTGAGAAGGTGACTTGACCTGGACATCTGGCCTCTCCTGGGGACTGAGAGAGTGGGAAAGGACAGGAGAGGCCCCAGGAAAGGTGGGCCTTGGCGCCAGTGCCTAGGTCCAGAGCTTCTAGTCGTGCGGGGTTAATGCTGTGCTGTGCTCGGCCCGTCCTTGCAAATTGCCACTGTTCTGGGCTGAGCCGCGTGCATTGCTCCAGCAGGGAGGAAGAGAGCACTGTTGTGCCCTGAGCTCCCCTAGTCTGCCCACTGGCAAGGGTAGCCTGAGGAGGGGCACGGCAGGCCTGCTGTGGGTCTGTTCCCCCAAGTTGGCATTTGACCCAGAGATGTCCTAATCAGAGGGGCACCTGGAGGACCTTGGCAAGATGGTCATCCTGGGCCCTGCAGGGAAGAGCTATGCAAACTGCTGCAGGGAAGCGTGGGGCAGCCTGGCAGGCAGGTTAGAGGGTCCGACTGCTTATCCCCGAGAAGAAGAGGCTCTGAGGGGCAGCAGTGACCCTTTGGACATTGTAAGGCTGCTGCTGAGAAGGACGGGCCTATCCATGTGACCCGGGGGTGAGAAGTCAGGCCTGGGGGTGGAAGTCCTAGGGCCGGCATGGCCAGGCAGCAGCAGTGTGTGTTTCCTGAGAGCTGCAGGGAGCAGGCAGGGGTGCTGTGTCAGGCCCAGGTGCAGCCAGGAGGAATCATCTGTAAGGTGCCTGTCAGCCCTGGGGGGCCAGGGCCTCAGCCTGTCAGGGACCCTAGTGGGTAACTGGCATCTGCCTGCAGGGCCAGCACCCCGGCTGCCCTGGTTGACTCCCTGGGTCAGTTCAGGCCTGAGACATGATCGCTCTTCTCAGCTAGTGTCCGAAAGCCTGGCCTCCGGCGTCAGCCAAGTCTGCCTTCTAACAACCTAATGAGAGGGCGGCTCTTTTATCAGTTCTTTCTGCCTCATTAGAAACAAAGGATGGGGCCCAAGAGAGGAGAATCTAAGACCCCTAATAGGGCACACTGCCTTCCGGGAAGTTGGGCAGCGGGCAGAGCCATAGAAGTGCCTCCAAAGACCAGCTTTTGGACTTGGTTGCCCTCAGCATTTCGCTATGGGTCCAGCCTGGCTTGTGGATTTCCATTCTCTCCTTCCACATCTACTCAGGTCCCCAAAGGGCAAAGCCGAGAGCTGAGATATCCGATATGGTAGCTGACATGTCTCTTAATATTAATTGAAATTAAATTAAATTTAAAACTCCGTTCTTGGGTCTCACCAGCCACATTGCAGGTGCGCAGTGGCCACCTGTGGCTAGCGGCTCCCCTCTCGGACAGCGCAGGGTTTCCCTGGCCGCAGGAAGTTCTGTGGGACAGCAGTGGTCTAGCGCATGGAGAGTTGGAGGAGCCCGGTGATTGTCTCTCCCTACCCTGGGGTAGGCCAACTAGTGACCATGGTGACAAATTCCAGGCCAGGTGGGCAGGTTATGACTGGTGGCGAGAGCGGTGTGAGAGCAAGAGAGGGAGGGTACGCCAGCAGGAAGGTCACAGACACATGGAGGGGAAGGGAGCACAGGGGCTGAGGAGGGGAAGTAGGGAGCTGGCCTCAGGCCGGTCCGGCTGGGGCCATGATGGGCGGGGTGCCGGGAGCCGGTCCATCCTTGCTGCTTGACACAGTCGCTGCAGGAAAGAAACATCTGCACAGCATATGTTTCAAGGGACCTGGCGTATATAGCATACTGTTCTTAATATGTTTGCTCCCCTTAGCGCTGTGTGTTTTAACCAAGGTCACCTCTCCGAGAAAGGTTGTTTCCCCAGGTAGGAATTTTTCCCTGAAGTCAGGGAGGGGATGCCTCTCCTAGAAAGGTTGTTTCCCCAGGTAGGAATTTTTCCCTGAAGTCAGGGAGGGGATGAAACTCCTTAACTAAGTGCCTGGCGGGTAGTTAATCACTACAAACAATCATGCTTAAACTACATAATCTTTACTCCCTGGAATGGAGATAAGAAACGCCCTAACCTTTGTAATAGAAATTGACAGGATTAAAATCAACTGGGATAAATACGGATGTAACAAGACAATAAACAGCAGAACTTCGCTGGAGATCCAGACCAGAACTTGGCTGGAGATCCTGGCTGGAGATCCTGGCTAGGCTGCTGATCAACTGAACACTGTCTCCGTGTCCTTCCTTCTTCGCCGACTCCGTCTACACCTTTGGGGACCCCTGGACCTGCTGGGGTTGGACCCCGGCAGCGGGGGGTGAGGCTCAGAGGTCCCCTGACGTTAGAGCGAGGATCTGGAGGCTGTGCTGGTGCATGGTAGGGTTGGAATGAGACCACCAGTGTTGCCGATGCAGCAGGGCTTACTGAATTTATCTTCTGCCGTTCAGCCATGCCTCCCGTCTGGAGTGGCCCCTGGTTCTGCAGCTCCGCTCACCTCAACCTGAGCCCCCGGGTAGAAAGACCAGGGTGGGCATGTGCAGTGCTGTTTTAACGAGGGCCGCTTCCTGGCTTTGTCTCCCTGCCCTCCAAGGAGGCCTGACACCTTTCTGCCTCACCCCGTTCCTTCCTCCATTCACACAATCCTTCCCTTTCCAGGTGAAAGAGCTTGTCCTGGACAACTGTCGGTCTTGTGAAGGCAAAATCGAAGGCCTCACAGATGAATTTGAAGAACTGGAGTTCTTAAGTACAATCAACGTAGGCCTCACCTCAGTCGCAAACTTACCAAAGTTAAACAAACTTAAGAAGGTAAATAGAGTGTAGAGGAATGTGTGTGTGTGTGTGTGTGTGTGTGTGTGTGTGTGTGTGTGTGTGTACATACGTGCACGTGCGCCCTCAAGCAGGCGGTGGGGGTGGGGAGGAGGAATGGCCATCACTTCATGTTTAGGGAGCGTAATTGAGGGTGTATCCAGCTGCCTGCCCCGCTGTCTGCCAGGCTCTGAGCATAGAGCCTTCATTTTAAGAGCTGTTTCTGCTTTTTATTTCCCTGCCTTGTTTAGCTTGAACTAAGCGATAACAGAATCTCAGGGGGCCTGGAAGTATTGGCAGAAAAGTGTCCGAACCTCAAGCATCTAAACTTAAGTGGCAACAAAATTAAAGACCTCAGCACAATAGAGCCACTGGTGAGTCACTGGGTCCTTCCCTCTCCACAGGGCGGGCGGAGGGCGGGACTGATAGCAGGGAATGCTGCTTTTGTATAATGGTTCTCCCCCCCACCCCCTTATTTTACTTTTTTTACTTCATTGGATTCTCACTATGTACTGTGAGATAGAGTTTAAGCAACTATTTCTGCTTCATCCATCAAGAAACTGAGACCTAGAGAAGTTAAGTGACTGGGCCCAGGTCACACAGCCAGGCTGGCAGTCTGGGTGAAGACCAGGACCCTAGTCCAGTGATGGCGAACCTTTTGAGCTCGGCGTGTCAGCATTTTGAAAAACCCTAACTTAACTCTGGTGCCGTGTCACATATAGAAATTTTTTGATATTTGCAACCATAGTAAAACAAAGACTTATATTTTTGATATTTATTTTATATATTTAAATGTCATTTAACAAAGAAAAATCAACCAAAAAAATGAGTTCGCGTGTCACCTCTGACATGCGTGTCATAGGTTCGCCATCACTGCCCTAGTCTCAGCTTCTGGCCTCGTGCTTTTCCTCATGCAGTGTCTGCTTCATTTTGGAAACTGGAGCTGACATTTCTTCAAGGTCCTGGCCCCTCTTTGGGGAGGGAGGATCCATCCAAGAATTAGGCTGATCCCAGAGGAGGCAAATCTGTTTTCTCCTTGGTCACTGACTGCCCCGAGGCTGGTGCCTCTGATGGGTGATAGGTGGCTTGGCCCCGACACAAGCCGTCTGGGGTGGCAGAGAACTGTGGTCTGGGAGCCTCGGGCCAGCCTTCCTCTGCTGTCTTCCTGGAGCTGAACACACCCCAAACATTCTTACTAGCCGGAACGGGCAAGTCCTGGTCAGGATATCAATTTTTACAAAAGCAGGATCTGAATGACTGAATTATCTTGATTTTTTTTTTAAAGGAGGTCCACTGTAAGATGTGTCATTGGTTCATTAGTAGATTTTTTTGAAAGATAGAAATATTACCACACAAAATAAACACACTTTTTGTAAATATACACCTACGAGTCACTTCATACACCATGCAACTTAGAATCAGGGAAAAGCCCTGAGGGTCTTTCGTCACGTTTCCCTTTTCTGAGGGTGGAGGTTGGAGCATTCCTCAGTTGGGTTTGTAGGTTCTTGTCCGAAAAGCACTCTTTGCCCTCCCTCTGTGGGTGCTCGGGGACTGGTGGATGGCCTTGATGGCAGAACGGGAAGCTAGACATTTTCTGCCCATCTGTGGCATGGGGTCACCCACTAGAATGGCCTGCCTTCCCATGGAGCTTCTTGTCAAGTCCTCCTGATGGGAAAGCAAAACAATTTTGTATATCTGAAAGTCTTAATTTCATTACAAAAGGAAAAATGTGTGGTGGTCTATCTGTGTGTTTGGGAGGTGAGGGACCAAGTGTATAAAACACTGTGAATCAGTCATTGTTAGAGATCAGATATAACACACACACACACACACACCATGCTCCTCCCACCCAGACCACACGTTTTTGTAGCTTCCTTTTCCTAGTGATCAGTGTGTCCGATGGGTTACACTCACCGCTAAAGGGTGGGCAACTGCTTTGGTTGGGGGTGCTGGGCTCACCTACCCAAACCACAGCCCAGATTCCCTCTCTGCCCTTGACCCTCAGCTGAGAATGGTCAGGTCTCTATTGTGAGCTCTTGAAAGAGCAACCTGGTTCCTGACATTGACCCTGAGGGACAGTGGCTTTAGTCACCTGTTAGGCTTGGCCTCACGGGAGCAGGGGCTTGGCCTGGGGTAGGGTATTCTTGCTATCTGTGTGACCCTTCCACTTCCTGGGCCTCAGTTTCCTCAGACACCAAGCAGGACTATATGAGCTTAAACCCTCTTAGATAAAGCTTTGCCAAAGCAAATGTATTCATTTAAGTGCCATGAACAAAATCTGGATCCTATGCCGGTTTTTCTCTTGTCCTTTTTGACAGGCAGCATGGTGGAGAGTATGCACAGGGGGAGAAGCGGGGCTGCCAAACCCCAGTTCTCTATTTCTTCAGCTGGAAAACAAGCGAATAATTATTTCTACCTTATCAGGGTTCTGAGGACAGACTGAGTTAATACACAAGTGCTGTGTTGACTCCTATTATTCTAGCAGCAGGGGTTAGTATGTTGGCTCATGCTGCCATGTTAGTTCCCGTCTGGCCCCTCGTCACAGGGGCAGGCAGCACAGCTCTTGTCTCATGCACCAAGAGAGCCCACCTGAATTTCAAGCGGAATGAAAGTGTGGGCACTGGATGAGATTTTAACGATAAAATCCAAGCCTTCATTTTCCAGGTCAAGAAACTGAGGCCCATCCACCAGGGGTGATGTGTTTGGGTGGACATTGTGGCCAAGCAGGACCAAGTCAGAATTCTTTACCCCCTGTGGCCTTTGCTCTTCACACTGTCTCACTTCATCCCCACCTGTTCCCCTGGGTGGTTCCCCGCTCCCCACCTGTCCCCTCCTCTCCTGCCTCCCACAGGTCACTCACTGCTCACTTTATTTTTCTGCTTCCAGAAAAAGTTAGAAAACCTCAAGAGCTTAGACCTTTTCAATTGTGAGGTAACCAACCTGAACGACTACCGAGAAAACGTGTTCAAGCTCCTCCCACAACTTACATATCTCGATGGCTATGACCGGGACGACAAGGAGGCCCCTGATTCCGACGCCGAGGGCTACGTAGAGGGCCTGGAGGAGGAGGACGAGGAGGATGAGGATGGTGGGTGGCCGAGTGAAGGCCAGGGCAGGCCCGGTTCCTCCCTGCTCTACAGAGGGGTGGCCTGGGTGTTGGGAGGCCCCCACTGGCTGCTGAGGGGTGGGACTGTCAACCTCCTTCCAAAGCTATGGAGAGAGCGGGGCTCTCTGCTGTGCTTACCGGTGTCCCTAATCTGGGCCATTGGTTAACTCCCCTAAAAACTGCGTGAGCCTGAGAAACATCCTCAGACTCTGACTGTATAGTAACTTTAAAGACCATCTAGCAGAAGCCTCAGTTGGTTTTTTTGTTGTTTTTTTTCCCCCCTTTCCAAAGTCCCACTGGAAATGACTCTAGACTCAGACACTGTCCCAGGGAGGGGTGAGCAGATAGAGGAAGGTGGGGTGTGGTCTGAGGTGTCCAGTCATGGAGCTGGAGAGGTTGTGGGGCCCCCTGGTGGCTGCAGCCCAGAGAACCACAGTCCAGGACTTGGGGGTGTGAACTTGTGAGCCCCAGGGACCCGGGCAAGTAGAGGCTGCAGGTAGCATGGTGGGCTCCCTGGCAGTGTGGCGAGCAGCCAGGGTGGCAGGGAGGGAAAGGAAAGGGTGCCTTCTCTTACCTTCCCTCGTCACCAGCACAGTGTGGCTTTTCCATGGGTCTTCATGGCCAGAGTACAGTTGAGAATGGACATACTTACCTGGTTAATTCAGACCCAAGATTTTGGTTTTCCTTGTTAGATGGGAGTATTTTGCAAGATATTCATGCACTTTGTGACACAACATAAAGGGCCCAGGACTGGAGTCCTGAGGCCAGGTTTCTAGGCACAAACTAATGTGATGTGTGACCTTGAACAAGTCACTTCTCCCCTCTGCCTCAGATTTCTTGTGGGCGTGGGGAACCTTTTTTCTGCCAAGGGCCATTTGGATATTTATGACATCATTCAAGGGCCATACAGAATTATCAACTTAAAAATTAGTCTGCTATATTTGGTCAAACAATTAACTCACCCCTAATGCCTTGGCAGGGCCAGACCAAATGTTTCGGGGCCTTATACAGCCCGTAGGCTGATGTACCCCACCCTTGCTTTAAAGTGAGCAGTTTGGCTGGATGCTCTTTCTAAAAGAATTAATTTCTCAGCTTTCCCGGCTGTGAAATTAATTCATAACTGTTCCTCTGAGCCCTCCATTTCTCCGTGGTCTCAAACTCCACAAAAAATCTCTCGTTTTTGTACAGCTAGGGGAGGAGGACTTGTCACTCACACCACTTCAAGGGCTTATCTTTTAGATCATTTCAGGATGTGTTCTGTCACCTTCAGGCATCGAGGCTTTGGGCCTTGGTGGGGTGTGAGGTCATGGGCCCCACGCTGAGGACCTTACCACCCCTGCCGGGCCCGCTGGGCTGGGGCCTGTGCTGTGCAAGGGAGGAGCCAGCTCACCACCAATTCATTCTTGTCCCCATTTCCACTGCACAGAGGAAGAGTATGATGAGGATGCTCATCTAGTGGAAGATGAAGAGGATGAAGAAGAGGAGGAAGAAGGTGAAGAGGAGGATGTGAGTGGAGAGGAAGAGGTAAGTGCCTGGCTGGGTGGGGTACCATCTGCCTGAGCCCCTCTTACTTGCTGCCTTTGAGTCAGTCCCAGGAAATGCCTCAGTGACCCTGGGAAACCCAGGAGCCCTGGTTGGGGAAATGAGTCCATTTCAGGGCCCTTTATTGGGCTGGTTTGAACTAGGCCAGACTTGCAGCAAGCCCTGGGAAGATGGATTAGGAGCGGGCGAGAGGGGATTCTGGAGGCAGGTAAAGAGGGGACCTCACCTGCTGGGGTAAGCCTGGCCCTCATTTCTGTGTGAAAATTAGTTCTTCCTGCAACCATGTCCCCATTTCCTGCCCTCTTGCATTCATATGTTAATTCACTGAGCACGCACAGTGTATTAGGGAAAATCAAAGACTGTCCTGAACTGATGGATAATGAAAGACACTGCTGGGTCCCAGATCACAGTGACAAGGGTCTAGTGCACACAGTGGAAGTAGTGCCATTTTCTTCACACATTGACTGGTTCCTAGTTTTTTTGGTAAGTCGGTGCTGTGTCTGTGAGTGGTAACATAGCACAGAGATTTAGCTGTGTGTCCCTGGACAAACTCCTTGACCTTTCTGGACCTATTTCTTCATCTGTGAAATAGCCACCTGGATTGTCAAGAGGATAAACTAATTTATGAGTAAAATGCTTAAGGACAGTGTCTGACTAGGGTGTTTGACCACTTGCTATTTTAGGCTTTCACACCCTTCCTTCTCCAAGATGCCGGCTCAGCGTGCTGGGTTTTGTGTCGGGTGTTCTGAATCTCTCTAGAGCAGAGTCATTTTCCATGATTTGTTCAAAATTCTGCATCAGCTCTTGCTGATTATAAAAGTTAGACGTGGGGAGGTTTAAAATGATAACAGCATGGACAAGGCTCCTGGTTTCTCCCGGTTTTCTGTCTCCTGATTGAGCACACAGACACCCACCTGCCGAGCACACCCACTTGGGCAGGATCTCCCAGCCGGCACAGCCCAGGCTTGGGAGAGGCAGGCAGGTCCAGGCGGGGAGGAGAGCTGGTCGATGGGCTTGGTTCCTGCCTGGTCTCGGTGCAGTTGCCCTTCTCCCTGAGTGTAGGCTGCTAGGCTCACCTCTGAACCCTTAGGAAAACAGGCCTCCCCCGCTCCCAGCACAGGGCAGTAAGTCGTGTTGACTAATGGGCTTCTTTGTCTTGTTCTTCCTGCCACAGAAGCTGCAGCGTGCAGGGTTGGGGTGTGTGTGTATGTGTGTGTGTGTGATCTCATTGACCATCTGCAGATTTCCAGCTTTCAGTAAAGGAGAGCTTACACACACACACACACACACACACACACACACACACCAGTCTCAGCAAACAGACTGATTAAGGAATTCTTTTGTGACAAAAGGATATTTCCCTTGACAAAACGAAGTCTATCACCAAGTTCTTTTTAAACAATGGCTTGCCTGATGCTTTAGGAACAGTGTTCAACGGGCAGAGATTTAACTGGCATGTAACACGGGAGCAACAGAAAGCAAGGGTCCTGTGTTGAGAATGAAGTCACACATCTGGCTGGATCTTACCAAGCTGGGATGATGCCCTCAGTTGAATTTATTCTCCCCTCCCAGTGGTCCAAGTTTGCAAGATGGCGCTGGGCTGTGAGGGGTGAGGTTGGACTTGCCCACAGAATCTGTGTTTGCTGGAACTGGGGTCTTCCTTGAAGCCAGCACTAGATTGAGGACAGATGGAAGGATGGCCTACTTTCCATGGCAGAGAGTCTGCTTGGGAACCTGTTCTCCTAAGAGAGCAGCGCATTGGATTAGAATGCTGCCTGAGTTGTAGGGACTTCAGCTCAGGAGCTCTTGACCTGGGGGAGGAACCACAGCCCCCTAACATTGTTTGCAAGTATTGTATGTGATAGGGGTATTTTCTGGGGAGGAGTTTAAAGCTTTCCATAGAATCTTAAAGGGGGTCTGTGATGGGAAAGAATGTCCTTGCATGGGGCTCTGAGAGGCAGGGGATGACCTGCCTTTTTTGAGATCAGTGCTGGGGAAAGTGGCTTCCTCGGCAGGTCCGTGGCCCGGGGCGCTACTGATGACGGCACACATCTTCTCTCCTAGGAGGATGAAGAAGATTATAACGACTGGGAAGTAGACGATGAGGAAGATGAAGAAGAGGCTGCTGGTGGTATGGCAGCCTTTGTACTCTTGGCTGGTGGCAGCTAGCCCCTTCTGTTGACAGTAGATTGTGTAGACCCCAGGGACCTGGCAATGGGCAGAACATGCCCATCTGAGGCTGCAGGTGCCTGCCTGGCTTTGCAGATGTCCTGGCTCAGTTGCCAGGAGGGCAAAGCTTCCTAGATGTCTGGTCCCCTGGCTTCGGGGGGGGGGGGGGGGGGGGGGGGGCGCGGGGAATCAGAGGTAGGGCCACTCTTTAATCTGAATGCCTTTTCCTTACTCTTCCAGAAGAAGAAAAGGGTCAGAAGCGAAAACGAGAACCTGAAGATGAAGGAGAAGAAGATGACTAAGTGGATACCTATTTTGAAAAATTCCTATTGTGATTTGACTGTTTTTACCCATACCCCCCAAATCCTGACCCCCGAAACTTATTTTTTTCTGATTGTAACGTTGCTGTGGGAACGAGAGGGGAAAAGTGTACTGGGGGTTGTGGGGAGAGGGTGGGCGGGAGGGGGTGGAATAAAATACTATTTTTACTGCCACTCTTTATTTTTCCCCCTACTTTTTTTGTGTCTGTTTTTGTCCCTGTACACCAAGTGAGCGTTTGTTCCATGCCCTCAGAGAGGATGGTTCGGAGGTCTCACATTTCCTGGTATCTCCCGAGTCTCTCGAGGTGGTTGGAAGGCCGAGCGAGGCTGCCTCAGTTTGGTTTCTCAAAGCCCAGGAGCGGCTGAGCACCAGCCACATCTTACCTCTTGTTCTGGTTCACGTGGTTTCTGCATTTCTTGGGCCTGTTAGAGACATCCAACGCCCGCCCTGGTTTTAAATAGCAACCTAAAGGCGTATTTTGGCACTGGCTGGGGACAGTCCCCATCTCATTCCCTTTCCCTCTTCACAGATGGTGGTGGGCTTCGTTCTACGAAGAAGACTCTGGTGTCGCTCTTAGGAGTAGGAGCTATGAGCCAGAGAGCTGAAAACAGCAGGCTCATGAGTAAATTGGATTTGGTGGTTAGAATGAAAAGAGAAGAAGCAAACCCTTAACCGTTAACCTCTTTAAAAGATTTTTAAAAAACTCCCCTCTCTTGTTCTGTAAAATATTAGAACGCTTTGTTTTACAAAATGACAAGAGAATTCTTCCACATGTACTCCTGTGCTTAGACCATTTTTACAAACCTAAGTGCAGGAGACGTCGCTGCATGTCGGCTGGGTGGGTTGGTTTGTTTTCATACGCCCGAGCACGGACAAACTAGCGCAAAATTGTATTTTCTTACCTAGTGGGAATCTGAGATGACTGCAAATTCCTAGTGAATGTACAGGTTTGCTTTCGTTGTCCTCTTCTGGATTGCTTTAGAAGTGACGTGTTTCCTGGCCCGTGTTTCATCTGTACAAAAGAGCATCTGCACCAGTTCCTTTCCTCCCCCTCAGAAGAGCCAAGCTTTGAGTTTTATGTCTGTTTGTCATTGATAAATTTCAATAAATCTTTTTATACAATTTTTTTGGGGATGGCTTCTTTGAGTCCAACAGGCCATTGATCTAAGATGCATTCCACACCCCCTGCTCGCTGACAGGGCTCCCTGACCACATAGCTCTTCTCATGGGCCGTGTAACCCGGTACTACGTTTGGACGCTTTGGTCTCAAAGCAAGACTCAGCGGTGTGCGTTCTTCATGAAAAGCTTCATGTTGGAGCGGGGAGAAGTGTAAAGAGAAAAAGATAAAAAACCAAACAGTCACCAAAATGTTAGGCCAACCTTGGGACCAGACCTTAGTCTGAGTATCTTCCATTGTTTTGTTGTTGAGACTGTAAAATAGAACATAGGCCTGGGAGCCTCAGGAATGTGTGAACACATTTGTTCCTTATTGACTTAGCATTGTTACGATCATTTCTCTACCTCTAACGGGTCTTCAAAAACAGCTAACCAGGACAGGTAGCAGTCCACTAACTGTTCTGATGTGTTCCATCCTAACCAATGGTTAGATGTTATGTCCAGCTTAGCACCACAGTGGACATTCTGTTACACGTTTTGAGGATTTCTTAGAACAAATGCTTAGAAGTAGTGTCATGGCACCAAAGCTGACATGTCTAACACTTGCATGCAAGGTGCTGTGTTTTCCAGAAGGGTTATGCTAATGTGCTGTGGTAGTTTATACATAGGCACATGTCTTCATCCTCAGCCCTGTAGCCTGGAACCCCATGTGAGCCCTGGCTCCTGTGCAGTTCCAGTAGGTGAGGTGCACCTCACTATGGGGAAACCTCACCCCACCCTCTGGGTGGTGTCCTGGGACTCCTGCACTTCGCTTTGGAGATATCTCCTGACTGCGTGTATAGGATGGGCGGCGGCCTCCCAGAGGCCTGGTGCTGTGGGAAACGGGGGCCGTGAGGCTGAACGAGGTGGGCATGTTCTGTGCCTCCGGAGCTGGTGAAAGAACACGGGAGTGGGGTGAAATCAAGAGCGGCTCAGGCCTGGCCTTGGGTTTTCTGGCCCTGGCTCCCTTTCTAGGGATTTTAAGGATCAGTTGACTCACATAGGTATGGAAATAGATGCTATAAAAATGGAAGCTAAAATAGACTATGACTGGGTTCATGCTGATGGGACTGAGGGAGGCAAACTGTCAATCATACTGAACGTTCACATCAGCTTTCGAGTAAAAGTCTCATTGTACCTGTTTCATAGATGAGGAAAACCGAGGCCCAGTGGCTTGAAGGTAAGAAGAGGTGGAGCCAGGGTGAAACCCCCGTCTGGACAATTACCAAACCTTGTCATGAATGGCAAGGAGGAGGAGGAAGCTTAGCCAGAGGGGAGAGGCTGACGTTTATTGAGCTCTTGCTGTGTGCCAGGTACTGTGCTTTACACGCAGCATCTCATTCTTACTGAATTCTCACAGCCCCCTTAGGTAGGTGCCATTACCCAGGCCATACAGCCAGAGAAGAGCATCAGGAGCAATCCAGGGAGGGGTGGTTCCAGAGCCAGCCCCCTCGTCTTAACACTGGAGTGTCTCCTGCTTCCCCGAGACACCTGGATGAGCCAGCTGTGTAAAGCAGTCACCTTGCCCAGTGCACCTGGTGAGTGAGGTTTCCCCACTGAGTGCTAGCAAGTGCCCTATGGACCCTTGAGAGCTGAAAGCCCATAGTCATCAGTCACCCCTCTCATGTCATGAAAGAGGGAACTAGAACCCAGAGAGGGTGAGTGATGTGCTCAAGGTCACACTGCAAGGGCCCGTTCCTGGGCTTCTGCACCAAGTCTCCCGAGGCTGGCCGGTTGCGGGGAGGCCAGCTGTTGAGTCAGTAGATACACAGCAGTGTCTTCCAGGAGGAGCAGCCCAGCCTCGGGTGGACAGGATGCCACGCGCGTCACGGCACATCCGTGTGTTGTCTGTGGCTTTGGAGTGCATCCTATGTTTTTTAAATATTCATAGTGGGTTTGGTTCCCCAATAGTGTCAGGCTAGTCACCCCTGAGAAGGGCATTTCTTGACGCAGACTAGTGCCTGGAGAGGAGGATGCTGATGCTGATCCTAGATTATGAGCTCCTGCTCTTGTCATAATTTATATCCATTGCCTCCCTCTTCCTCACACGGATTTCACAGAGGAAACCAAGGCTCAGACAAGCTAGGCAACTAGCCCAGCAAGTAAGTGGCAGCTAAGCTTCAAACCTGTGTCTGGCACTGGAGATCTAGTTCTTATCCACTGTGTTCAAAGAGCCAGGCACACAAGCAATTTGGTTTGTCTCATTTGCTGGCTTGCAAAGACTGTTTTTATCCTGGTTCAGAGACTCATTGTTCCTGGTTGGAAGGATTCCCGCAGTGGGTCCCTATTAGCAGCTTTGGGCAATGGTGTCCCTGAGTCCCTGGACCAGCCCTTGGACAGGCCTCTGTGGCAAGCTGGGCTCAGGGCTGACTGGGGCAAGGAGAGGCCTGGAGATGGTTGGACAGACGAGGGCAGGTCTGAGGCTGATCAGCCTGACTGAGGCCCTCTAGGCTGCCACCGGTGACTTGGGAGCTGATGCCGGGGATGCCTGTGGAGCTGCCTGCCAGGCATCCTCTCCTCTTGGTCTGAAAAAACCACTGCAAAGACTCCCATGGACATGGCCCAACCCCCTTCCTGAAGTTCAGGTGGGGCTGACGGTCACCGATCTGGTTCCTGGGCTGAGCAAGTGACCTAGTGCTGGCCAATCAGCATATTCCGTACTCTGACCAGAGTGACTGGTACAAGGAAGGGCCTGGGACACAGACTGGTTAAAATGAGGTTTGGTCCCTGAAATTTAAATGATGAACTTCCTGCTGTGGGTATGGGGCTGGGATGAGGGAGGCCTAGGGGAGTGGGGGCCAGTACAACGAGTGAGGACACCAACGCGGATTCAGAACTTACCGTTGGGCCTTGCACATCATTTTGCTTCTTTCTCATAAAAACCCTATCAGGCAGTAATTATCCCCATTTCAAAGATTGAACACATAAGTACTCGCTAAATATTCGCTTAGTGCCAGACACAACACTCTGTGCTTTATAGGAGTCGACCTAATGTTTCCCAAATTTCTCTGATAAGAATCCCTAGGGCTTGTCAGACTGTCAGGCCTCCCTCACCCCTGGGAATTCTGGTTCTGTAGCTCTGGACTGGGGCCCGGGAATCTGTGTTTTAACAAGTACCCAGAGGATTCTCATCATTGGGGACATTTGGGAAATGCTGCATTAAACGTAATAATACCCACAACAGCCCAGGGAGGAGGGTGTTAGGGCCATGCTCACTCCATGTTGAGGAAAGGAGGCTCAGAGAGGTTAAGTAACCTGCCCAAGATAACACAGGTGGGAGTGACAGCTGGGATTTGAACCTGGGTCTACGTGACGTTCACACTTCTTGGAGAAAGGGGATGCTAATAACTACCTGTGTGTCTCACAGGTCATGAGATGGAGGGAAAGGTGGGAAGGAACATTACAAAGTGGAAAGCAAAACTGCTTTTGGAAAAGAGAGAGATGCCAGTGTTATGAAAAAGAAGTCTCAGCAACCCAAATATTTTCTGCAAGGAAGGGAAAACAGTCCTACAAACCAGTTGTCATTAAGATAATCTATATGAAAGTGGTTCCCTCCAACCCCCGCCCCCCCACACACACTTTTAAAATTTACATACAATAAAATTCACTCTGTATCAGCTATCACGATACAGTATATTGAAGATCTTAGTTGTAAAAGGAAGTGGATTTGCACTAAATCTTGCTGATGGCTTTCGGAGGGCCCTCAAGCCTTGACCAGGGCTCAAGAGTTGGGAGACCTGGATGCTCTCCCAGCCCTGAGACCAACTCGCTGGGTGATGGCATACAAGTCACCTTTACATCCTGTAAGAAGATCCATGCAGACTAAATGGCTTGACAGCCTTAGTCAGTAGTTTGTTGTATATTCTTTCCCTCGCCCTGAGGCCTTCAGGTAGGTCTCTCTTGACATTAGTAAAGGTGTTTCCTGCCAAAAGGACGAGGTGGCGGCAGGAAAGATCAACGTGGGAGAAACAGCTTCTGCGGCAGGAGCACCCGGATGCACAATCCACAAAAGGGCCTTCTGAGGTCTGAGGATTGCCTGGGCCCCTGAAGAAGCCAAGATAAAACAGCACGGCACGTGTGATCTCATTTCCTTCTCACAGCAGCGTTCTCTTCGAGGTAGTGATTCTCCCCAATTTCCCGATGAAGAAACGGGTTTAGAGACATTATGAAACTTGCCAAGATCGCATCGCCAGGAAGGCACTACTGCTATCAGCACGCACAGCTTCCTGGCCTGAAGGATGGGGGTATTCCCTCAGTGCTCAGGGCCTGTGCAGCCTACAGCTCACTGCAGCAAGATTCATCTCCGAATCTCGGTTTGACTAATTTCACACCTTTTCTCAAGAATCCAGCTCTCAGGCCCCAGCGCGGTCCTCCCACTCATCTCTGCAGTTCTCCAGACTGTGACAACACCAGTCTCCCCACAGTCCCTGGGAACAGATGTCGTGCAACAAACATGACTTGAACCTCGGGAATAGGGAGAACTGATTTCTACCTCTGGAGACAGGGACCCTAGATGTTTTGGGGAAAAAACAATAGCAACTCCTTCCAAAACTTGAAAAGTAGAAAGGGGCAGCATGCTGGGCTAGAGCGAGGAGGCCTGTGTGACCCGGGAGGAGCCTCCTCTCTACAGGGTCTGCCTCCCAGAAGTGACAGGAGATAGAGAGCATGTTTGTGTGCTGGTGGGAATGATCCAGTGCAGGGGGAGGCGTCGATGATGAGAGGGAGAGACAGAGAGTCTCAGAGAGAATCAGAGGCCTGGGATCCTGTGACATAATAGAAGTTCAGCCTTTGGTAGAGGAAAGGACACTTCATCTTTTGAACAGGAGAAAAAGGCTAGCTAGGTCCATGTAGGTGGGTGAATTTGATGGAGGGAAGACGGCAGAGTTCCTGTCTGCTTTTGCAGAAATTAAGAGGCAAGATCATCAGTGGGGGATGGGGGCTGAGAGGGGCAGAAGGCAGGCAGTTGTTC